GGGAGGGAATGGAGATTTTGCAGTACCCTTCCCCCAGGAGTGGGGAGGGAATGGAGATTTTGCAGTATCCTTCCCCTGCCATGCCCACCAAGCCAAGCCCACAGAACCGGTAGTAAAAAAAAATGAATTTCACCACCGTACTGCATTAAATGGAAGAAAGGAAGTATGTGCCATATGGAATGAGATATTTTGCAGTTTTTCAACTTGAACTTGATGCAACTTTCGACTTGAAATGAGATCTCCATGTCCCACAGGTGATTTTTCAAGAGGCAACTGGACTTCCTTATTTTTCTTTGAAGATGTTTTGGTCCTCAGCCAAGAAGCTTCTTCAGCTCTGACTGGATCGTGAGGAATGGAAGGATTGATACATCTTGCAGACAGCTGGTCATTTGCATCCTTTTAGAGGATCATTGAGGCCACTGGGAGGTTTGTCTGTGTCCTCAGAGTCATCTGAGTAGCATCTTTAGGACAACCATGACCTGGATGACTGAGAATCTCCATAGACATTTAGCAATGCAGTTTAGGATGAACACCCTTTGAATGGTGTGGGAGTATGAACCGATTTCCAGAAAAATTGCAAACTACAGGAACTATTTGAACCTCAGCTTGGGATGCAGACAACACAGATTCTCCACCAACAGCCTGCACCTGTGTTCAACAGTGAAGGGACACAGGGCAGAAAACATCCTGCAGAAGTCTCCACACCCATTCGCACTACTCAGACGACTCGGAGGTCACAGATAAACCTCCAAGTGTCCTCAACAACTCTCTAAAAGGATGCAAATGTCCAGTTGTCTGCACGGAGTGTAAATCCTTCCATTCTCCACCATTCAATCAGAGCTTACAAAGCTTCCTGGATGAGAAGCAAAATGTCTTCCAAGAAAAACAAGGAAGTCCAGTGGCCCCTTGAAAAATCACTTTTGGAACAACCATGACCTGGATGACTGAGAATCTCCATAGACATTTAGATGCTTGATGAAAAATGTTTCCCTTGGAAAAAAAAATACTTTTGCTTCAGTTCAACACCCTCATTTCTCCTGGCAGCTGCTCCTGTGCCTGTGTGTCCCAGCTGGTGCTGATTTCTCCTGGTTATCACCCAACCAGAAACATAAATAATTAACTCTATTATTATTTAATAGTGAGTTCTCTCAAATTTTGTGCTTGTGTAAATTTTACATTTCTTACCCATATTTTTTCCCATGTGTCCAGCATTATAGGTTCTTCAATATTCTGAG